TTAAATAGAATTTAATTACATAAAATTTAAATAAATCTCTAGATTTCATTTCTCATCCAAACATGCCCAATTTAATATATGTTGAAGAACTTATCATGATCATTACATATATTCCTTCAAAACCTAATTTAAATCATGGAAACACATGAATAAAAATTAATCAAATTAATTTATAAATTCCTTTAGATTTCAAAATAACCCAAAATGATTTCAAGTTAATATATGTTATAAATCAAGTCATGTCATTTTCAAAAATCATGTCTTAGCTTAATTTCATGCAATGTATCATTGACTACCAATTTAAAGATTTAGATTAAAGACATGTAGTTCATTTTTACCAAGTTATAAAACATATAAAATATTAAATAAATAAAAAAAACATAGTTTAGAACACCCCCTACCTCACTAAAGAAGAGTCTCTCTAGAATCCAAGGCAAATCAACACAAAATAGCAAACCCTTCAAGGGTTATGTAGAGGAGGATGAGGGGAACAAAAAGTGTTCCAAGTTTCATGGTCTAAGGTGAGTGGAAGGCCCTCAAAAATCAAGGTCAAGGCCTAAGGCTTCAAGCTCCATCCATGGAGGCTAGGGCTTTCTTGTAAAGGATAAAATGACATAATGTGAAAATGTGTGAGTGGAGGAAATAGAAATCCTCCACTCACTATGTGATCCTACACCATGGTCAATATAGATATCTATGGTCAATTGCACAAAAACCCCCTCTTTAAAATCATAATCCCAAAGTAGCCCAAAAATAATTGCAAGACTTAATTTGGAGCATACACTTGTCACTCATCCAAGCATCCATTGTAGGTTTAATCCTAAGCCTACACTTGTTAACTATCCAAGTCAACAAGTACACCTATCCTAGGTCAACAAGTGGTTCAATCTCCACCCTCTACATGTCATCATCTACGGCATCAAAGTGTCCCCACACAAATGCCAACAAGTGGACCAATGAGAGTGTGATACTTATCACACTTTTCGAAAATTACAAAAAGGTCCTTTTTAAAAATATCTTTCAAATTAAATTACAAAATGGTCCCTAAGACGAAAAATAATTACTTTACAGTAATTACACAAATGACCCCAAAAGAAAGAGAAATTCCGAAGAAGTGTGCATCCATACCCCTAAGGAAGAAAGTACATAACTAGCATACTTTTCTACAAAAGTAAAAATACACATAGCATGGAATTTAAATATCGTGGATGCATGCAAAACTAAAATCAAATCTGAACATGAAAAGTGAGGTTGTGCCAACAATGTGACAACCGAGAAAAAGACGAAAAGTGAATAGTGTCAAAAAAGTGAAAATGTGGAAATGACTCAGCCCTCAAAGGAAGTTGTTAATCCGAACAAAAGAGTCTCGGAAACTATTTTCAAGCACTCGAGACGACACCCAGTGACGAGAAACAGAACTCGGAAAGGAAAAAGATAACGGAAAAAATTTATCCGTAAAATTTGAAAAAAAAGGAAAGGAAGGAAAATGACAGGGTCATTACAATAATTTTCTGACACCGTCTCACTAAAACGTAAATATCTCCTAATAGGATGGGAATCTGAGAATTAAATTGGTACTATTGGAAAGAGGACAAAAAATCTTTCAGTTTAAGGTCAAGAATGACCCTATTTCGAGTAACAAAACAGGCAAAATAATAGGTTGAGCTCAATCGCTACTATGAGGGCGACCGCACAGGATTAAAGACTAAGATTCTAACAAGTGGCGCACTCTAATTCACTACTACGTTAACTCTGATGGTGCGTGTCGCACCAGATTCTTTTTCCATTGACAGTTCTGATCTATGGTCCATTTATGCGGTGCACTGAGTCTCCATGGTATTACACCACACCGAATTAATCTACTTACTTTAAATGATCCAATGACCCAGATCAGTGTGTGTACTAAGTTCCTATGTAATTGCCCACACTGGATCATCTGCATATCATCAGAACCATCCAACCATCTAAAATCCATGCGCACCACAGTAATGGTGCTGCACTAAACCCTAACCCCTTTTCATCCGCCATTTTACAGCAACCCCCAATGTATACGTAGACATTATATATATATATATATATATATATATATATATATATATATATATATATATATATATAATTCTCCAAAGAAATATATGAAAAATAAATCTAATATATTCCTAAACAAATATTGAAAAAACCAAAAAATTCCAGAAACCATAATCAACCCTCTTGGGTCACAGATCAACTCATAAATTAATTTTTAAAATATATACAACACCTATATATTACAGTTAAACTTCAAAACTCCAAAAATAATAATAATAATAATAATAATAATAATAATAATAATTTATGCTTTTAATTCATCCAATCTAACCATGATTTAATCAAATAAATTTAACATAAAGTCTTGATATTCAAGGTAAAATATTTATAAGTTCTAATAGGAAAGATAGAGAAGAACTCGTTTGAAGGTTTCGAAACGAAACAGACTCCTCAAGCCTTGATTGTCTTTTCCAATTCTAGCGTCCTCTTTCTCTGATCCAACCTCATTTTTATCAGGCTCATCTTCTTCTCTCTTCGCCTCTCTTATTTTTCTAACGTAAAAACCTTTTTAATAAAGTAATCATATATGTATATAACCACATTAATACCCTAATCATATTCCTATTATGACTTCCAAATAAAAAAAATAATATTTATCAAATAATATAAACATATACATATATAATATATATATATATATATATATATATATATATATATTAACTTCCATAATTAATCATTAATTAATTCAATCATATACACATCTATATATCAATAAATATATATAGATATATCCTTCCATAATAATTATTAATTAATTATATTTATATATATATATATATATAACTACACAAAAAATAATCATTTAAATAATTATGTAACCATGCATGGGCCTTTATTAATTAATCTAACAAGGCTTCATTCAAGCCCAAGACCACATCCATTCGTCCCACCTCCCTTAAGTCCACCTCCCTTAAGTCCAAACCAATTAATTTAAATAAATAAAATAATTAAATTAAAACTATTAATTACAAATAATTAACAATAAGGTCACACAAATATAAATACATACAAATCAAATACACAATTCAATCATAACATTCCACAAAGCAAAACAACACATCAATTCATCAAATATAATCGCAAAATATAATTTAATTAAAATATAATAATTAATCTAAGCACTCAATTAAATAAATAAATTATTTAAAAAATAAAGTAAAAGCAATTAAACCCAATCAAACCAAACATATCATTTTTAAATAAACTAAAATAATTAATCCCAATTAATAATGCCTTTAAAATATAGGGGTATTACACATTCTTCGCTAAGATTCCATTGACCCTTTAAAGCATTGGATTTAGCCCTTTTAAGCCTTATGAACCTAAAATCGACAATATAGCAAATTAAATCTAAAACAAGAAAGTAATGATATAATAAGGTGTTAACTAATGCAAGAATAAAGGTTGAATTGTACATCTTTCAGCACTAAACATCTATTGAATTTTTTTATTTTTTTTTTACAAAACTTGAATATAAGAATTTAATTGGTAACTTTGCATCTCAAAAGGCAAAGATGATTTGTAAATAAATATTATTAAAAATTATTTAATATTAATACATTACATATTGTAAGGCCCTTTATATTTCAATCTTGTGAGAGTGCATGGGCAAGTTAAGAAATTTAGGCCTTATTTGGTAACCGTTTTTGTTTATTTTTTATCATTTAAGTTTAAACATAATGAGTGTTTATTTGTAATTTTTGTTTATCGATAAACAAAAAGTTTGTTTGATAACATAAAAATATTTATCTTATTTTTAAATTAATAAATAGAAAAAGATGTTTGTTAACCTTAAACTATTTTAAAAAAATTTAACACCAATTTTAAACAAATAATAAAAATATCTATGAAATGTCTAATTATTTCTTACTTCTAATGCCATTCAAGTAACAAATTGCCACTCTAATGAAAAAAAGAAAAAAAAAAAAAATCGGAAGGTAATCGTTGCTTAACTAATATTTCAAGATACCCATTATGAAGACCCACCAAAAGAAAAAATGTTTGTTTTACTTATTCACTCTATCTTTTCTTCATGCAAAAAAATAAAAAATAAAAAAACAATAAAAACTAATAAACATAAACACATAAACATAAACGTTATTGGCATGTCTAAACAGTAATTATATAAAGCAAATTTATATAATCGATAAACCATAAATAATATTAACAAACGTGTTTTTCTTCAAAATCTATTTATATAAATAATAAAGTGTAAACATAAATAATTATCTAACGGGGCCTTAGTTAATCATAAATAAGAGATCAAATATCTAGCTATATAATTTCATAAATAAATACACCAAAGAAAATAATAATGAAAATGTAATGAATCTGTGAAAATTCCCCATCACAGAAACCCGACATTGGGCCTATACGAGACCTCGTGGCCCGAAAACTAAAAAATAACGAAACACACCTTAATGCATTTCTAATAAAGAAAAAATTGCATCCGTTAATGTCAAAACATTTAAAAATATCAAATCGATATTTTGATTTTGGACCACACTATTCACCATTTTTTTTTTCCCTATTTATTATTAAAATATCCAACAAAAACAAAAATAGTAAAAACAAAAACCAAACACTTTTTCATCCAAGCTATATTTTTAATATTTGTCCCCTCCAAAACTCGTCAATTCCCGTATAAATAATACCGTCGTCACCGTACAGTGGACAACCTTAATATTTACAAAAAATAAAAATAAAAAGACAACCTTAGTATGGTACCGAAGTACTCTAGATGTGAATTCTTGCTGAAATGGGCCGTCTTATTACGTAATAAATCAAAGCTGACGTATTGACCGGCGATGATGTGGGGCCATATAGACGTATTATCATCCAACGGCTAAAAGAATTGTGCGTACCATATAAGCTATTACACACCACTATACACCCCAAGTTACTTCTCTTCTCTCTTTTTTTAATTTCCTCCTGGTCGCCGCCCTCTTCTCTCTATCTAGCGTCGCCGCCCTCTTCTCTCTAGCGTCGCCGCCTTCTCTCGGTAAAATTTATATTGGTTTAATCTCAATTTCTTTTCTTTTTTGGTCGAACTATTTAATTGTCCATAGGATTTTGAGATTTTTAATTGCGGTACACACAGCCCGGCATGTTTTGTTTCTAGGGTTTTAGCTATTGTTTGGTGTTTCTGATTTGGAATGGGATTTCACCGGAATTAGATTTGGAATGGGACTTCACCGGAATTAGATTTGGAATGGGATTTTAAAAGAATCGGCATTTGTACGTTGCCTTTTGATCTTGTTTGTTGTTTCTAGGGCTTTTTATCTATGATATTATTGTGGATTTTTAAAAAAAATGTATTTAGGTGTTTCTAGGGTTTTATGCTACCCATTTTGAGATTTTTATTGCGGTAGTATTTAGATATGAAGTGTTTCTAATTGTTTCTGTGTTTGGAATGGGAGATTTCACCCGAATTAGATTTGGAATTGGTATTTTGGTGTTAGGAATGAATGGGATTTTAAAAGAATTGGAATTTGAGAATGTGACTTGCCCTATTCGCATTCAATCTTCCCTCAGACCCATCGGATTCAGATCCAGAACACCCCCTAAGTAATATTACATAAAAGGTGTAATTTTTATCAGTTTTTTTAACATTCAAGGGTTTTTATGCTTCCTTGTTTCTGGAATTTTGTTATTGCAGTTCTGTACACTCAGACACAGAGTCCCACACACAATATGTAATTTTGTTTTCTAAGTAATTTTTTGATTGTCTGTTAAGTAATATTATATATGAGGTTGTTTTCCTACCTTTAAATTTGTCTATTTGTCTTTTGTCTTATGACCTTTTTGGGACTTCATTGTTTTCGTGTTGCTGAATTTGTGAAGCTAAATGTGTTGACAGGATTTGTCTTGCCAACCAAATGTCTTTTGATCTCTGCAAGAAGCATCAGTGGTTTCTTCGCTGTACTTTTTGTTTCATGAACCGGGGTAGGTTGTGGTGTACACAGAAGATCTTGTTTCGGCATTGGACTTGAAAGGAATTAAAAGGGTTGGCAGGTGTTTGTGGCATTTACAAGCCTTTCTTTTATTCAAAGGGTTTACAAGTTGCAATATATATATTTTGCAAAGGTTTTCATCTATTTGGGATTCAAAATTTTATTAGATTGTGGGGGTGTATTATTGGTATACTATATGGAGCGACTATCCCTCTCTCCGGGATTTCGTTTCCATCCCACGGATGTTGAGTTGGTTATGTTCTACCTCAAGCGGAAGGTATTGGGAAGAAAGTTCAAATTTGAAGTCATTTCAGAGGTCAACATTTACAAGTTCGCTCCATGGGATCTCCCAGGTATTATTACTTCTCAGCCCATTTAATACCACTTTAAATTCACTTTCTTTTCATTAGGTTTTACTTATATGTAAATGTGTGTAACGCATGCTTTTCTCATTTTTTTTAGACGCAACGGTTTTATGATCTGATATGTGTTTCTTTTACTTGGTCCATGGAATTTTTTTCTGCTTTTTGCTTGGTTTGTCCTATATATCATCCATTTTTTTTTTTGGCATTAATGTTTATCCTTGGAAGCACCTTCTCATTATTTTTACTGCAAAGCTACCACCATCTTGGTGCATGAATGAATTTTCTTTTTATTTTTACTGTTTCCTTTATGTGGTTCCGATAAGCTACCATATTGTATTTACATTTCCTCCCTTAGATAAATCTTGCTTGCCAAGTAAAGATCGCGAATGGTATTTCTTCTGTCCGCGAGAGAGAAAATACGCAAGTGGCTCCAGAGCATGTCGCTCAACTGAAAATGGGTATTGGAAAGCCACAGGAAAGGATAGGACTGTTCTTTACAACAAACAAGCAGTGGGAGCAGTGAAAACTTTGGTTTTTCACGTAGGTCGTGCACCAAAAGGAGAAAGATCTGATTGGGTTATCCATGAGTATAGGATTGACGATAAGGATTTGGCTGAAGCAGGAGTTGTTCAGGTAATGTTGTTCACCCTTTGTTTTCTATTCTGAAGTATTTGTTTTCAGATTCTTTATGTCTCTGTCCATTTGTTACGTCCATGTTTAAAGCTTGTTCTATTTATATTTTGTCTTAAGTCGTACTCTTGCTACTATACTGCATGCACAAGTGTTTGTGTTCGTGCCTTACATGTTTTTGCTATTCATGAAAATCCACCACAAATTTTTTTTTTTTTTTTTTGATAAATAAATTGTATTAGAAAGCGTTCAAGAGGGGAACGCATCCCAAGAATAAACAAAAAACCAAAGAAAATACAAGAAAGTCAAACATAGTGTCCTACGGATCCAAAGAACCCAAAAAGACCACTATCTCGTCTAGAGATATACAAATTTTTCCCATTACCCAACAAAAAAGGGAACTAATAATAGAAAATTTCAGCTTCCCAATGGGGGTTTCCTCCCCCTCAAAAGATCTTTTGTTATGCTCTTTCCACATGCTCCACCAAACACAATGGGGAATCACCTTCCAACAGTCCCGAGCATGAGCCCCCACCCTTTGGCCCCTCCGAATATCAATCACCTCCCTTGAAGACCGAGGCATAACCCAATGAATACCAAACAAACCAAAAATAAGGCTCCAGCAATTTTAAAATGTTGGTTGTACTTTGTTATTTAATTATTTCTTTCTCAATTGTGTATTGAAGAAGATGGTTTATTGTCTTTTGTTACATTTAATGAGACTAGCTTTTGGAGTTGCTGCTCAACGTGATAATTCTGAGATCAATTCAAGTGAAATCGATTTCTACAGATCTTGGGAATCTGTTGTCACTGAATTTGGGATTTTTGAGTAGAGGATATTCGTATTGTTGTGTTTTGAAGGAATTCTTCAATTATACCTTATAATTGACACTCTGTTAATACTTAATTTGGAATTATTTTTCTGCATTAGGAGAGTGAACCAGGTGATATAGGTAACGTAGTTTGCTTTCTCATCTTTTGTCTTGCTTGGAACCTAAGTAATGATCATAATGGTATGCTCCTCATTAGAGGCACTATGTTCAGTCGAAATTTTAGTGCTTTAATCATGAAATGATTTTGGTGTGTACTTTGATCACCATGTAACACTGTCTTTTCTAGCTTGTTGCTGGAAGTTCTCTCCATTTATTCCTGTTATCATGTAACGCATTTGCCTTTGTAAACTCGTTGATGTGGAAAGAGGTCTTTATCAATTTTAATTCACGTTCTTGGCTCTGTGTTGCAGGATGCATTTGTTATCTGTAAAATATTTAAGAAGAGTGGCTCAGGTCCAAATAATGGTGCGCAATATGGAGCACCATTTAACGAGGAAGATTGGAGTGATGACGAGGAAGATGATTTGTCCCCAGAAGCTTTAGTCCCGCCTGATGATCAGAACATCGCCTCTTTGTTTGAAGCTGGTCCATCTAATGCTGTGCCTTCTGAAGAGGTGCCTCAACCTCTGCTAGATGACGCTGATCTTGGTTTGTTGCTGGCCATGTTTGTGGATGATGGTGATTTGCTTTCTAGTGAGAACGAGAATGTGGTGCGTAACTGCTGCTATTTTTACCAATAAAATTCCCTTCTGTGACTTCTTTCCATTTAAGTTCATTTCTATCTAGGCCATAATGATGTCTTATTCCAACCATGAAGACACCAAGTCACTTGTAAGTTTAAATTCAAACCATGACTGTCACATGTTCATTGACCATTTGGCCCTTTTGGTGTAAATCATCTTAAGTCCAAGGGTCAAGTCAAATCAATCTAGGGACCATGACATGAAATATATATATATATATATATATATAATTAGTCCATTGGGTCCTAGGATCATATTGGAGTTCTAGACTTGCAACATGAATTACTTTACAACATGTCTAGCTCTCACCAAGCATATACTACCCCCCATGATCTTGACCTTTGAATTCCATCATCATCATGATCCATAGGTCCACATGAGCTTTGACTACTTGATTTTCATAAATAATCTGAAAATATCACACTCAATAAATTGTTTAATTCTCACATACATCATCAAAATCACTCGTTGGGTTGAAACCTTGGGGTTAACAGATTGGAGTGGGATAGGATGTAGGTATATGCTTGTAAAATAAAGTTGTTTGGCAAGTATCATTAGAATCTGGGAACCACTGTCTGGTTATCATTCATTGAACAATTTGCCTATTGATGTCAATTACTTATTTCGAAATTGTTTAGAGTCGTGAATCTTTTTTCCTTTTAATTATCATTTTTGTGGAAAAAGGAAGTTTCTGATTTGAAGCTTGGTGATTTGAGAAATAACTTGAAACTTTTGACCTACTCAGATCAATTGCAGTAGGAACGGTAGTGGGTTAGCTCCCAGATACTGATGTTGAATTTTTTTGTGTTTGCCTGCAGCAGCTTAGTAATATTGATCTTGACAAAAGGAGCGAAACAGTATCTTCCTTGGATGGAAATGATATATATGGTTGTCTAGGGGACCTGGATAACTGGTCAGAGCTGGATGGAGATGGATTGAACTTCTCCAACTGTCTGAAAACTGACTGTTCTTCAAGCTCTATTCCTTCATTTTACGATTTTGAATGAATTACAAGGCATGGGGTTTACTGCTGACATCTTGTTGGAGTCTAGTTTGTTCATGTATTCTACAGCCAAGTCCTACTCTCCAGTGCCTTTGCAAGAAACTCATCATTCTTTTACTTCAATTTTTTGTTGTCTATTTGTTACGGGTTTGATTTAAGGACACGTTATGATTCACCATTTGTTATACGGGTTCACGAACCTCATATTATGGTCGCAGGATGCTGCATTATTTGTTATATGATTCTAAAGGTGATGGAACCTTTTTTTTTTTTTTTTTTTGGCCTGGAAAGCATAATAAACCATATTTTCCTTTGTCATTGTCTGTTATAATTCGTCCCAGGTGAAAAGCAAAGAAAACCACAGGTTTGAGTAAGAAAGTGGTTAATTGTGGCAGTGAGTTTACATTTTTGCTAAACTTGGTATTGTCACGCCTGTAACAGGTTTTGTCAAAATTTATATGGAGTGCTGTCAATAAGATGTTATGATGGAGAGACTACTTTTTAACCAAAAAGAGAATCTGCTTGTGCTGTTTGTTTTGCATGACAATGTGTAGGGTCTGACTTTGAGCATTCAGTATTATGATGGGATGAGGGCTGCGTTGAAAAATCTAGCCATTTTTTAGGTGAATTTGGGAGTTTGATTGCCCCACTCTGAATATATTATAAATTTATTAAATTACCCTTATATATTATGATATTTTAATAAAATGTCAAGCGTATATGTGCGCACAGGAGAAAAGCATATTCCTCATTTTGTTATATGTACATGAAATTGTGATATCCCCCCACCCCCCACCCCCCCCCCCCCCCCCCCCGGCGCCGCCGCCGGCGAAGTGGGAACCCATTTACAACACCCAAAAACGGTGTTCGACTCTAATACCAATTATAATGAATTTGAATAATCGTCTTTTAATTTAATAGATTAAGTTATTGAGTTTGCGGTCCAATCTTAAAACTTTAGCAATTAGGTGGTACTAACACCTAACTTCATCCATATTGTTATATAACAATATAACAATAGTAATCGTCTTTTAATTTAATAGATTAAGTTATTGAGTTTGCGGTCCAATCTTAAAACTTTAGCAATTAGGTGGTACTTACAGCTAACTTCATCCATATTGTTATAATATAACAATAGTAATGTATACCAAAATCTATATGATTCACATTCTCCCCATCCAGATTAGGGATTAGAACCTCTGTCATTTGATCTGGTTTTTAGGATTAGTAATCAATTGATGAATGTCTATGTTCATTTTATGAGACCGCTTTACTATTAGGTATATGACTCTTGTCGAAGACACTGCAATTCTAAGTCAAAATTTTCACCACCCACAATTTTGTCATTGTAATTAATCAGTTATCAAAATGAAAGAAACCCATAAAACAAATGTAAATCCATATCATATTTACTCCTTCAAAAGCATCTAAAACATCACAAAAATGTGGACATGCAAATTAGAACAATCCAATGGCGTTAGAAAGGCGCAGAAACTATGTCCCTTGGTCCTGGAATTCGTAGTTCGTTTATCCATTCCTCTTCCAAATCCATCAATGCATCTCCATTCTTCATTGCACCACTCACAATAGGCTCTAAGCCCTGAAATTGAAATATAAGAACATCATCACTTTCATGTAACTGAACTGCTGGTCAGCTCTAATCTTTTCTTTTCTGTTACGAAATATGAATATCATATAGATGGTATACTTTTGGATAAGATAACAAAATCGAAAAATCAAGAATCATGAAATGAATGAATTTTATAAATTTTGCCTCGTAAACATAAGGAAAACATTACATTTATTTACGTAAAAGATATAAAAGCAATCAATCATTTCATGATTAAAAAACCATAGATGTCGAGAGAGTTTGGAAGACAGCATAAAATAGATGTAATATATATTCATGTGTATGAAGTTGGTAATATATACAGAGAAGCGCTATTAATTTATTGTCATCCACTTCATGTTATCTTTATTCTACACTTCAAATCCAATTCAAAAGTTGAAGCTTCACATATATTAATGTTAGATGAACCTTAAATTTTTTTTATTTTTATTTTATTTTATTTTTTGTGCTTCTATAAAGGACACATATATATGCAATTAAAGTGAAGTCGAGAAAGATTTCTTGCAATTTATCCTGAATAATATAAATAGATGAACAAGTATCGTGATGAAACCCTAAGCAGCTTATATAATCTCATGTTTGTTCTGTTTTATACTTGTAATCAGGCACGGGCCCATGAAGGGTCCATTTTTTTTATTTACAAATTTACCTAAAAATCTTTAAAATGTCTCCATTTTTTTGTAAATTTTTTAAATATGCCTCCACTCAATTTTAATGATGATACCTCACCATACGTTATTGTTATTCAAAGTTACCCCCTCATACAATTCTCTAAGTTCGTCACTGTGGGTAATGCGGGTTGATGACAAATGTGTGTATTTGTATATGTGATTAATTTGTTATTTGAGGAAGAAGCTCATGGATAAATTGTTTATTTTCTGTCTTGATAGTGGATCGAAATAGTTATTCATCTTATCTAGCTAATCATCACGATTCCAAGCCGTGGTCCCTCCTGGGAGACGTGGCCCTCTTGTCATCGCGCCTAAAGTCTTCAAGGCGCTCCGCTATAGCCATTGCGGATGCCAAGTCTCTAGGCTCCCTCCTTCTTAGCTTCGTGGCCACCCAAGACTGCAGCCCATCTATGAACAAGCACACGCGTTGCCGCTCCGGCATCTCTGGGATCTCCAGCATCAAGTTGGAGTACTCCTTCACATACTCCCTTATGCTGCCCTTCTGCTTCAGGCGCCTTAGGTTGATCATGGCGAGGTCCTCAACGCACTCAGGGTAGAACTGCCTCTTGAGCTGCCTCTTGAACTCCTCCTATGTATCAACTGCTCTTGCGCCCCTACCGGTGAAGCGCTGCCTCCACCATAGAGCGGCGGTGTCTGTGAGGTACATAGTGCCTGTCTGCACCTTCTCCTCATCATCCTCGATCTCCATGCACTCGAAGTACTGCTCCATGTGCCAGAAGAAGTTGTCAATCTGGCGTGCATTCCTTGCCCCATCGTACTCCTTGGGCTCCGGCGCCTTCTTCTTCCTTGGCTTCACCACAACCTCGCGCGCTTGGGAGAACTCCTTCTTACACTCGGTAATCTCCATGCGCAAGTCGTCTACCCGATCATGCAAGTCCCTTTCTTTCTTTTGCGCCTTGTTAGCGATGCCATCAATCAGCTCGTAGAGCTCCGCCATCCTTCTCTCGAGCCTATTAAACTTGGTCTCCGTGTAGACCAAGTGTGTGGCAAGCTTCCCCTCCAATCTCTGCTCTAAGATGTGGACTTGGTGGTCTCCTCCGCTAGCCATGTCTACTCCAACAAAGCTCCCTTGACGAACCTGGCTCTGATACCAACTGTCACGGGCTTAGAGTTTCAGCACCACTCTAGCTGCTCCCGTGCGGCACCAAGACGTTGCTTTCACTCTCGCAAGTACTTGGTCAGCCTAACTCCCGTGCACACCTTAGCCAACACACTCCCCTCGTGCGCTTACTAGTGTTGTAGTTGCCCTCGCCCTCTCCTCACTTGGCTTGCACACTCACACACACTAAGGCACTTAAGTTGGCAAGGAAAGAACACTTCTATTACTTCAAAGAATGCTTTGTACAAGGCTAACACTCAAGCTCTCTACAAGGCTCTCAAGACTCACTCTAGGACTTGTTGTCTACAAAATGAAGTCCTACCTCTATTTATAGGTATCCCCATCCCCAGTGGACGGCTAGGATGCATTTTAATCGATGGTGGAGATCGATTCTCTAGAATCTTCTCCCACCTTCTTCACACTTCCATACTTATCCATAAATATCTACAACATTCTAGAATTCTCCATACTACTCCACACAACTCTGGAGAACTCTAGAACCTTCCACACACTTCTACATATTTCTACACATATCTAGAATCTTCCACACAACTCTAGACTACTCCGGAAGACTCTAGAAACTCCACTTGCCATGCAGTTGCCATGCAGCGTCCTCCTCAGCGTCTGCGTGTCGCCTGCGTGGCACAACCTCCATAGGCGGGGCGTGACAGTAAGGTGAGCTGGAGAAGCACGTTACATAACGTGGCACAATCGAACAATTTGATGAAACACGTGGCAGTTGATGAGCTACTCTCTACTACAGTTAGATATTTTGATTTTATAACTTTCTAATAAGAGAAACAAAACTCAACTGTTTCACCAACTCTTACGTGTTTTGTGTCTTCGTGTTTTGAGTGACACGATCCATATTGGATTTATAATAATTAGGGAAAATTACATATAAATGGAGTCAAAGTTCCATATTTATTTAGAGGCTGAGTCAAAGTTCCATATTTCTCTAAAATGGATTGCTGAGGTGAAACATGGTTTTTTACTGTTTAGAAATTGTGGTGCCTAAAATACCCTTCCGCGAAGGTACTACTTTTTCTTCGAAGGTACTACTTTTTTGAACTGAAGGTATTACTTTTTGGCGTCCAGGTACCATGTTTTTTAAACACCCGCGAAGGTACTACTTTTTCTCCGAAGGTGCTACTTTTTTGAACTAAAGGTACTACTTTTTTGTTAGGGAAGGGCATTTTAGGCACCACAATTTTCTAAACAGTAAAAAATCATGTGCCACCTCAGCAATCCATTTTAACTTTGACTCAGTCTCTAAGTAAATATGGAACTTTGACTCCATTTATATGTAATTTTCCCTTATAATTAATTAGGTGTAACTACATCTACATCTATGCATAAGTTTTGGCATGCATATATGGCAGTGAACAAGAATATATATATATATAACTTTCCTTTTTCTCTCTCCCTCTCCATAACCCCTCGCCTCCAATTTTCATATACACTCTCATACTCCAAAACTATATTCCCTCTCTGTGTAGTGGTTTCCTCTCTCTGTAGAGGTTCTCGATCTTGTTCGAGTCTTCTCTCTTTCTCTTTCATCTTATTTTCTTCTTCACTTTCTTCTGTTGGTCTCCTTCTAATAGATCTCGAACTCCTTTATATCGGTCTTTTCTCTACCTGTTAGCGTGACTTGTTGGTCGATCGTAAGTGTATCTTTCCGGCTCTTTGGTTGGGTCAGTCTCTCTTTTTGGGCGTTTTTCTAGATCTTGTCTTCGTAGTGGTGGTGTTTTCTTTTTCTGTTGTTCATTGTTGGCTTCTCCCTTCTTGTGGTTTCTGCGTTGGCTGTTTGCTCTTGCTGCGTGAGTGGTGTGTGTTTTTTCTGTGTGTGTTCC